TTAGCTAAAAGCAAGAATAGTTATACAAGGAATGAACAGTGAGAAGATTTAGATAAATTTGATATATTTGCACCTATTATGTGTTGATCAATAATATATATGGTACTTGCATTGGCAGCACAAAAGCAATGATGAATCATATAGATGGACATTAAGACAATATTTCTTAACAAAAAATTAAAAGAAGAATTTTTTATGGAAGTCTTAGATAGTTTTTATGGAATAAGAACGCTAAAATTTTGAAAGCCCTATATGGACTATGTCAAGATCTTTGAGCTTCATATAGTTGTCTTGATAGCTATTTCAAAGAAAAAAGGCTGATAAAAAATATAACAAATCATAATATGTACTATTCATATCAAATATATATATATATATATATATATATATGTAATTCTTATATTGTATGTAGATGATCTACTATTAATATGAAACAATGAAAATAAAATCGACAAAGTTAAAATCCTATTCACCACAAAATTCAAAATGACACTATTAAAAGATGCTTGATTCTAAGATATCAAGATAAAATATAGTTCTCATGGAATCTAATTACATCAGAGAAAGTTTATTTATACCATGTTGAATTGTTTCATAATGCAAAATTGCAATCATGGATCCATCCCAATAAGCAATGGTTTCAAATTTAAGAAAAAAATGTGCACACAAAGCTAATTGAGCTTCCATTATATAAATCACTTTTCAGATGCTTATGTTTAGTAGTCATTATCATAAGTATAGACATAAACTATGCCATAGGAAATATGTACAAATACATGCAAGAACCATAAGAAAATTAGATTATTGTGAAGCATATCCTACACTATCTCAAAGAAACAAATAATTGGAATTTATACTTTCTTTTGACAATAGAATTAAGTTATTATACCTTCACTAGTTTTGACTTTGGGTACAATTTGGATACTTAACAATCTACCATATGAATCATAAATAAGCTCAATAGCAATATTATAGATTGAGGCAACAAACTTCAATCAATTATTATTTTTTCTACTATAAAAGTAAATTACCATAGCTTATGAGAAGCTACAAAAACATTTGCTACTTATGCATATTACTAAATGAATTCCACTTATGTGATGAATCACCAACTCAATTTTATATTAATAATTAATTAAGCATCAAATTGGTAGACAATCTTGTACTTTATATACTAAGAAAGCATATTGAGATCTAACATTATTTTATTAGAAAAAGACCACAAGCATGAGATTTAATTGTAACATATGTACCAACTAAACTATAACAAGCTCACTATTTAATCAAGCAACTGGATCAGCTACGGATCTATACCAACAAAGCAAAATTAGGCCTTGAATCTTTGTTTGATCAATCTTGATTCTTAATATCTAAGTACCTCTCAACTTCAACAAGAGATCTAAAATATTTATATTTAGATCCACTAAATCTATGAATGTTGAGATAACACTTATTTCAAGTATAATACATTCTTGGCCAAATCACCTTTCTAACAACATAGCACTTCTTGATTGATATTAGAGTTGAAGACAAACAAGGCTCAAGAAGAATAAGAAGTATTGGGGCAAAATCATCAACTTTCTCTACTTCAAAATAAAAAGGGTCGTGAATCACCAATCTCTAAAGTTGCCTAAACAAAAATCCCATGGAGAAATCAATGATTCTGTGAAGAACAACAAGGAAACACCTCAAAGCAAGCAACAAAACCTCACTCTATCTTAGGAAATGTTAGGATTAATATGGTACAATAATAATTAGTAAATGGGCTAGAATAAAACAAGATGAATCAGGAATAGATTGTTACCATTGATAAATTATCTATTTGTGTTAGAAGCAGCTCAAAAGAATGCAAAGAGAGGAATCAACAACAGGGTACAATATCAAACATATAATACAAAGAATGAAGGAGTGCATTACAAGTAACACTCTCCTCACTGACAACGACGTCATTATCATTATTACAACTTCAATTAACTCACTAGTTGTTCAATAGCCCATAGTTATCGTACAGACAACGAGCAGTTAAGGACTAAAGATAGAAATAAAACCTTGTGGTTAAAGGGGGTGAATCGCTTTACTGTTTCTCGAGTGTGTTTTCACTTTCAGAATATTCGTATTAGTCACTAGCTCACAGAGTCCTTGTTTCCCTTGAATGCTCTCTTGGATTGTCTCCTAGTTGGTTGGTGCCCGAAAGCACCTTGATAGCTCATGTTGCCACATTGTAAAAACCTTTTCTCTACTTTGTGGCTTATTAGACCAAAGGCTAACAGATTCGATCTGCTATTTAAACTATACTGCAATCCTGGAAGTCTAATTACAATCCTTGCGTGCTTAGGAAGCACAAACGGGCACATGGCTGCGAAGAGTTCAACACACAATCCTAAGTCTGTCCCTATGCATTGTGCGGAGCTCCATCCCTGCACCACTTTTGTACTATTGTCATAAAATCAATATAAACAACAATCCGAGGCGGAGTTTCATTCGAAGCACGACTTGCGGACAGTGGGGAACTGGGAAGTGCGGGCGATGGAAAGCATTGCAGGACAGCGATTTGACGGTCCCGGAGGAGATTGTCGGAGGTTGACCGTCTGGCTGGGGAGGTACGTGTTCTGTGAAGGTGAAGGTGGGTGCCTGGCTATTCACTTGGCGATGCTTTTGGGGGATGTGGAGCGCAACGACAGCGCAGCTGAGCCGCCGAGGCGGCTGCATGGGCGGGGTGGTCGGCCCAACCAACTGCAGGGCATCCGGATGTTGAGCGATTCCATGGAATTGCATGTCAATCTCCTTCTCTCACTGACTCACTGTCGGTATGGCGCTCGGTGAAAGTTCTGTCGCATTTGAGCTGGATGGGTTCAGAAATGGTTTATGCTTTTTTCGGTGTGTTAGTGCGCACACTTAACTTCATTTAGGGATAGGTGAAACATTATTGGGCATTACGAGAGGATAATAGTTTGAAAAAGTATGTTTTGAGAATAGAGAAGTTTGTGAGAGAGCACAAATATAGAATTTCGAAGAGAATGTAAGAAGCTACTAGAAAATGAGGAGAATGTGCCAAGTTTATGGGAAAATATTAAAATAAGGCATGCATAGAAAGCTTGAATGTCATGGGGTCCACCTCAAAATATCCTTTATTAGTTGTCTTCTTTTAATTTTAGTTGGTGAAAACGAATTATTATTGTTAAAGTAGACGGTAACTGAGCCAATTATGTGTTGCAGTTAAACAAAATCTTTTTTACTATTGTAGGAAGTTTAATAAGGGGCATTCAAAAATCATGAAACCATTATTTAACTTTTGGTCGACATGGATTTTTTCAAAGAAGTTCTTTTATACCAAACTTCTATTTTGACGCCCACAATGAAGCATAGCAAGCTAAACATTGACTTTAGGTCACACAATGCTACCTACTAAAAGTAGAGATATTTCAAATATTATATAAATGCAGACAAAGAAGCAATGACATCAACAAAGTATATGTCAATGATGTTATTTTAAAATATATCTTGTTACAATTATAATTGGATATGAACATAAACTAATTTACTATACTTTTGCTATATTAAAACAAGAAATATTAGTAGTAATTATAATAATTTTGATTCTATTTATAAATATTGATAAAAATAAAAATAATTGAATTTGTTTGTTGATTAATTTTAATTTTTTGTTTTAGAATATTTTGAGAAAGTATTTAAAATAAAATAAATTATATAAGTATTTTTTTTTAGAAATCATCTTCTAGATAGGTGTCAAGTTTGAAAAAAATCATTTAGTGTCTTATCATTTTAGAATGAACTAAGTTGGTTCTTCAATACCATGATTAATATTTATTTTAATTATATTATTTAAAGATTGTGTTTAATAGAAATAAGATCGAAACTCTTGACTAATAGGAAAAAACTAAATCCATTTGTAATAAAACTTAAATTTAATCAGCTTTATTTTATTACATTTGACATATTTAAAATTTAATCTTTGTATCATATATTATTTAAAGATAAAATCATGTCTTTCTTACTTGTTATTTTAGGCCTAGTTAATTGTCTCTAGACCACGTGTTTATTACTTAAATGTAGTTAACATGTGCCAATATGCAATTAAATTTTAATATAATATTTACAAAAAATATAGAAGAAATTAAAATGGAGTTGTTGTGTATTTGGTGTGGGATTCCTCTTCTACTTCTTTGACAGAAAATAAATGAGATGAAACTTCTAGAATGTATCAATGCCACACTTCAAAAGCTTTTTCTTCAACTTGTTGTCTTACTTCCACAGAAATAAAAATCCAAAAACTGGGCCACAAAATTTAACGGTTCCCAAGACGATAGCCGATTCAGCGCCCCGCTAAATTGGATATCTCAGACCACAGGGATTAACAGTTACCCGATCATCAACACTCCTGAAAGGATGGAAGTGTGAAGATGACACCAAATCGCGGCAACAGATATTTTATAGTGCACCATACCGACACTGGACAGTGAAAGAAGGAGATTGAGAGTACAATTCCATGCCATTGCTCAACATCCGGATGCCCTGCAGTTCGTTGGGCCGACTCCCCCACCCATGCAGCCGCCTTTGCGGCTTAGCTGCGCTGCCGTCGCGCTCCACATCCGCCAAATGCATCGCCAAGTGAGTAGCCAAGAACCCACCTTCACCTTCACAGGACACATGCCTCCCCAGCCAGACGTTCAACCTCCGACAATCTCCTCCCGAACCGTCAAATCGCCGTTCTGCAATGCAATGCTTACCATCGCCCCCACTTCCCAGTTCCCCACTGTCGGCAAGTCGTTCTTCGAACGAAGCCCCGCCTTGCCCCGTTGTCCCGCTGGTGATGATCAAGTAAAGTGCCCGATTGGTCGTACATGTGGGCGTCCCAGCTGCCGGCAGCGGCAACCATACTTTCTCGTGCTTGACTGTGAGTCAACCCAGAATCTTCAGATTGCGGTCCCGTCAAACCCATCACTCGCCTGGGCGCGTGCCCATATAAAGCCGTGCCCACAATCGCATTCCCTCATAACAACGCTCACAACAACGCTCACACCGCTCCGAAAGTTCCTGCTCCCGATCTCTCCCCCTCGGGTTTGCTTCACCGGGTTCGTTTGCAGCGTCCCCGAAAATTCGCATCGCATCCATCGACATGGAAGTCATGATCGCCGAAGCTCCGGCCAGATGCTCCAGCATGCTGGGTCGTAGTGCTGCAGCTCCTTCTGATGTTCGTGCAATGGGACGAGCTGGTGGTGCGGGTTTGAGAGCACCTTGCTTGCCATCCCGGCGGTCGCGTGGAGGTGCTGGCTGTGAGCTCGCGGCATCGGCGCCCCGTGAGCGACGCAATCCGGTCCAGTCCTCCATCAGATCCGTCCTCGACGTCGAGCCGAGAGTGTTTGCGGATGGTGAGCCTCACAGCTGTGTGGACAGCACCGAGTCGCTGCTGCAGAAATTGGCCGACATGGGGCCACCCAATGATAGCGCCCTGTCTCGCATGAACGAGGCCGCAGACCGGCTTTTCCTGTGGGACGACGTTCCCAAGCTAGGTACGCGTTCAGGTCACCACCCCACGTTTCACTGCAATTCCACTGCTATTCCACTGCAATTTCGCTGCTTCGTCGAAGTAGTCGGAGGGCCTGCTGCTGGACGTCGTGGCGAAAGGGCACAGCCTCTGGCTTGGAATTCCGGGGCCGACTCCGAATGGGAGACTGTCCACACACCCCTGCACGTATCGACGTGCTGGCTGACGGAATGGGTTCTCCGGTGCACCCCGCACGCACAGCGCTGGCGTGTTTGTTGCCCTTCCTCCACGGTGGGTTCCCGACGCCTGGCCCGCACCGGTGGTCACACAAATAGCTGATGTTGCCCCTGGTTTGTGATGGTGCCTGGTGTTGCAGCGAAGAAGCAGACTTTCACGGTGTACGAGCTGAACGAGTTCGACCGGGACAGTCCCGCGTTCTTGGAATTGAGCAGACAGTCCGTCAACAGAACGGATCCGGTGACCGGAGAACACGTCAAGGCTCTTGGCGACCAGGTCCCTTTCACCAACAAGGTAAGTGGCGCTGGGCGGTGTGCAGTGATTTGTACAATCCCCAGCCTCGTGTGCTGCCGACAAGTTAGAGTCGCGTACCCAGGTCCGTCACCCTTGAAGTTGGATCACACGAGTAAGAAGGGGCGCGGGGGTCGCTGAGGACTGAGGGTGGGGGAATTGGTGTGTGTATTTGCAGCTGTACGATTCGTCGTTGCGGACGAGGCTGGGCATCACGACGGGAATCTGCCTGCACATGAAACAGTATCCGGGAAGGGGGGCTCCGGAACTGCACGGCTTGCCATTCTTCACGCCCGATCACTACGAGACCATCATGAGCTGGCACTTGGGCGACATGGGCCACATCAGCGGCATGGTGCGATCCCGTTTCCAAATGCAACTCCACAGTTGGACTGGGTGATCAGGCGTCCAGAATGTAGAACGTTGGATGTTGGAGGGCTGTTGGGTGCTGATGAATTGAACTGTGGGGTGGGACGGGGACTCGGGGCGCAGGGGCCGTTCATCAACTTCCAGGACACGCTGATGGGCGTCACGGGAGGCACGGGGTTCTTCGCGGAGGCGAGAGGAGTGGTGCGACTGCATCCCATCACGCCCTTCAAGTTCATGTACACGTTCACGCTGACGGGCATCCCCAAGCTGCCGGAAGTGCTGACCAAGGAGCTGGTGGTGCCCGGGTTCGGAGTGGAAGCGCACGCGGACGCTGTGCAGGGCAAGCCGGAGAGCACGCTGGCCAACTTCACCAACTGATGATTGGGGGGCAGGCCGGAGCGTGGAGGGGAGGTGTGTGTGTGGGATGGTGGGAGGGCATTTCATTTCATTTCATTGGCATGGAGGGTCTGTGCTGTGCTGTGCTGTGCTACTTGTATTCCGTTTTGGGCTTCAGGGCCTGGTCACCGCCACTCGTTCTACTTTCCTTCCTTGCCTTCTTTCGCGCTCGCCCTCCCCCACACCCACGCGCTGACCTCTTCCTCGTCGGTTGGTAGTCTCCTCTGCTGTTTCTGGCCTCCTTCAAAGTTTGATGCTTGGGGGGCAGTAGGAATGTAGAGAGTGGTGAGAGGGGAGATGGATTTCCTTCTGAGAATATGTGTTTTGTTATCATTGTTACTTTGATTGAAGATGGGTTTTAATATCTTGGAATATATATTTTTTTGACATTTTGGAAACCTGGGGTGCATTTAACTCTCAATTATCGTTTATTTTGTGGCTTGAGTTTGAAGGAGAGTACTGTTATTTTTGTTATGATTTTGGTGTGTATTTGTTTGCACAGCCTTCTTGTATCCACTCTGAATTTTGACTGATTTGGACACCTTACAGCACATTTTAGAAAAAGGATGTGAAAATGTATGTTTATTTTTATTTTTATTTTTTTGTAGTAAACACATTCATACTTTCTTTTGGTTAAAATTGATTTTTTTTTTGTTTTTTAATTGATTTGGAAACCCTTATGACTATGTTATCTATCTGTTCATTTTAAAATATGAGTACTTGATTTAATCTTTTGTATAATTTTGAAGTACAATAGTTGCATTAAATGCAATGGACTGCATCTTTAAAGCTCTATTAAATATACATTAAATATATAAAATTTATTTATGTATTTTTAATTATAATTATGGTTAGTAAAATACATCCTATCTAGAGGCCCTTTATGGATCTTAGAGAGGGATTGGAATTTGTTAAACTCCATATCGAAAAATAATGTATGTATTGTGAAGTATATCACTGAAGATTAGATTGGAAACTCGGATTATTACAAGTCTTATCATTCAACAGGTAGTTCTTTCATAATATATTAGAATTTTATTAATTAATGGAATATAAAATTTTGATATTTTTGAATCTTTGGTAAAGTAGATGAATTTAATTAGAACAAGGTGTAGAAATAAAATAAAAACACAAATTTCAAACTTTATATTTGAGAAAATGTAGCCCAACTAAGACCGTTGATTTATAATAACATTATTTCAACTTCAGAAAATCATACTTTAGAAATTTATATAACATCTTTCTATTTTAAAGATCAAAGAATTATTAGCAATCTACTATTACAACCACTCAAAGTATATTCTAACAATGTTTAGGATCTTAGAATTAATTTGCAAGAATATCAAATAAAGAATATAATAGGATATGTGGATATATTTTAAAATAGAATAAAAAAATCAATAAAAAATCAAAAAGAGTAAGATATGTAAAGAATAATGCAAGAATTAAAAATCAAAATAGTAGTTATATGAACACATTAAAATTTACAAGTTAATCTATTATATACAAGAATCTAATAATTTATTAAAAGATTTTAAGTTAGAAATTTTAGGTTAACAGATAGAAACAAAAAAGTTAAAAGATGAGAGTATAAACTAATTTACGAAAAAACGGTGATGGATTCATAAATTATAATTATTTTTGCAATCAAACAAAGAGATTTTAAGTTTTTAGATTTAACCCTACAAAATAATAAATGCTATAATACTATTGATATAAAAAATAAGAAAATTTTATATTTTAAATCTTATAAACTATTTAAAAGGATCAAGAAGATGCTACTACAGTGAGATCCACATTTAAAGCTCATTAACATATATTTTGTTTCAAAAAAATTATAAAATAAATTACACTTAGCTAATAAATACTTTTAATACAACTAATTTAAATCTTAGATTCTGGAATGAAGCCAAAGAAAAAATTAATTTATTGTAGAAGATAAAAGGTAATATGAGCATGTTACATCTTTATAACTAAGTTTTTTGAACAATTTAATTAAAAAAATAACATTTTATCTCAAATTTAGTAAGTGAATGAGCTTTTATAAATTATGGAATGATTAAACTTCTACAATATTTTTCAAATTTAATATGTTGGATGTAGTAAAACTATGTCATAATTTATACTTGAAAATACTAAAATTAATATTTATTATGTATAAATTAAAATATAATTTTTTTTATAAATATTTTTTATCCTATTCTTTAAAAAATAGCGGCTTAGTTTTTTTTTAATATGAAAAAGAAATTGGTGGTATTAAAATAGAAAAAAACACATGAATTGTGATTGGTAACAAAATCACTTAATTAAATAGAAACAAATAGAAGTGAGTAAAAGTAGGTATAAAACTATTAGATAGATAGTATACATTTTTTAAATTAATAAATTTTATTAGATGAAAAATAAATCTATAGATTCTTCTAAATGTGCCATGTACTTATAGGAATGTTTTTTTTAAAAAAAAACTCTAATATAAAATTAATCTAAAAATTAGACACTTTAATTACAATTTTAATAGTCCTTGCAAAATTTTAACATGGCCTTCTTAATGGCTAGTATATATCGAAGAAGACTAAAGTCTTTTTCAATCTTATTAATCAATTCTTTTATTTTAGTTGTAATTTAAGACTCTATGATTTTTTTGTAGTTAAAAATATTCTTTCTAATTTTATTCTATCTCATAAAATTATTCTTTTTGTTGTTACCAATTATGTATGAATAAATTTTTTATTATTTTTTTTAAAAAAATTAATTATTTAGAAATTAAATAAAAGTATAATATTATATATATATATATATATATATATATATCTATTAAAGCATCAAAGTACTTTGAAAGTTAAAAATTATTCTTTTGAAAGTGATATTTTTTTTATTCCAAATTTTAAAAGAAATTTTTAGATTTTTATAAATATAATATTAATTATTAGAATAAAAAATTATAATATATGAGAAAAAATAAATAAATCCATTAGTTCTTGTAATATGATAGTTATATTTATTAGTATATCTAATATTAGAGATGCATAATAAAATACATATAAATGGCTTTATTTTCTTTTAGGATTTTATAATTTCAAGTGAATTATATTTGTACAATTCTACTAAGTAGGGTAACAAAAACAAATTTTTCTAAAGAAATTTGATGGTATTGGATTTGAATTTTGAGCATTCATTAAAAATAAAAATCTTGTTATTAAACTCCAATCTATTAGGTATATAACTTAAGCATCTCAATTTTAGAATATTATAATCTTATTTAAATAAAAATATTTTTTTAGGTTTTTTATATATTTTAAAATATACTATATTAGAAATTTCAGATTTGTTTTAATAATTTTAATCTATTTATAAAGAAGATGATACAACTTATATATTGACTAGTAAAATTTAAGTTTTGTAACATAGAAATTGGTATATGTTTACATTTGCTTTATTTATTTATTTTTCATTAAAAGAAAAAAATTAAGAATAAAAGAGTTCTTCATTTTGGAAGTTAGTTAAGAAAGAAAATTAAAATAAATAAATAAATAAATAAATAAATAAATGCTATCTAATATACCTAGTACATTTATTTTATTTTATTTTTATTTTTTTCAAAAGGACATCAAAATTAGTTTTGAATTATATTAATGTTTAAAACAAAAGATGTTAGGATAAAGAAATAAATGGAAAATAATTTCTAGAGAATAGGAAAGCCAATGAAAGAGAGTCAACATAGACTTTGGAAGAGGTTGTAATTTTTGAGTAGAAGAAAAAGAAAATAATCATTATTTTAGAAAATTATTATATCTAGATATAGAAGATAATCTTGAAAGTTAAAGGCTTTATATGAAGATGCTTTTCAATTTATTTTTTATTTTTTTTCCCTAGTTTTAATTGATGACTGCTTAAGAACAAAGATGGATAAGGTGAATTTATTTTTTTATTAAATGAGATCAATATAGAAAGATACAGGGGATTTATTTTTAGAAATAATGGTAGACTAATGAATAGAGATAATGGTAATGCCTCTTAAAAGAATATAACTACAATCCACCAGTTCATTGAAAATAGTTTATTTGAAAGAAAAAATAGTCTTTTTATTCATTATTTTCTCGGAATTACCTCTAATCAGACATAAGAAAATTTAGAAAATAACTTCTAATAGGGTCTAAGATTTTTTTGGCTTATACTTCATATCCTCAACTATTATTCTAAAATTATGATCATCTTCTTCTTCTCTCACTAAGAAGGCATAACCTCTAACAAATTCTATGTTGACACTCTGATCAAGGCTACACCTTTCTCATTCTGTTTTTCTCCATGAAGTAAAAAATTTACAATCACATGGATCATCATAGTTCTATCCTTTGTTGGAAATTATAACCATCTCCATTTACCATGCCTTTAATTATATGTCACTTGTTTTAAGCAATTTTCTCTATTATGCCTTGAAAATTATACGTATTTATCTATATATATATATATATATATATATATATATATAATTTTTTTAAAGATGGAACTATTGAGAATGTTTAGAAAGACACAAGAGTAGTAAGTAATATACATATACACAAGAGTAATAGTAAGTAATACATATAAGAGGGTTTCTAAAGAAAGAGAGCTTCACACATAAAAATCTATTGATTTGGTTGTGTCTCATATATAAGAAGAAAAAGGAAAGAGGATAAATAGTTCTTCTCCACTACATTCCAAATACTATAGCTATGGTATTTACTATAGTCTATAATAAATGTTATGGAGAGCACTGGCTACATTTAATGCTCTCAACACTCTTCTTTGTTCATCATAATATTTGCATAATATAAAATTTATATAGAATTATGATCTATACTTTTTTGTGATCTCACAAGATCAATAATTGTTGCCTCATTAAAACCTTATCTAGAAAAATCTTATTGTATTTATGGACAAAACCATAGATGAAGGAAAAAGAGTACAACATCATTTTCTTTAATTATTTAAAGAACTCATTAACTTTCTTATTCAAAAAAAATAAGTCACTACATATTAATACCATAAGTAAGTCGACGATGGTTGCACAATGAGAGAGCTTTGGTGAAGAAATTAGCAAGGTTATTTGTAGATTCAATTGTCTTAATTATAAGTGCTTGATCAATAATCAAGTCATGGGTATAACTAAAATATTTTTAATCAATATACTTTGTCTTGTCGCCTTTAATGAAACCAACTTGCATCTATGCAATACAAGCACTATTATCTTTATGCAAGATAGTTGGAGAATCATCATATGAAAATCCACAGGTTGTTTGAATGAATTTATCAATTGATTGCAACCAAATACATTCTCGAGATGCTTCATGTAAGGCAATAATTTTTGCATGGTTATATGAAGTTGCAGTTATTGTTTGTTTCACTGATTTCGATGACATTGTGGCTCCATGTCTTAAATATACATATCCTGCATCACAATAATCAACCAATTTTGGATATGTAGATTATGTATAGTATAATCCCAAGTCTTCAGTATCTTTTAAATAACGTAATAAATATTTGATGCCATTTTAATATTTTAGTATTGGACGTGTATTATCTCGTATAAGAATACTAACTGTAAATGTAATATCTGGTCTTATAGATATAGTCAAATATAAAAGTGCTCCAACCACTACAAGGTATGGATATTGATCTTCCAATATTTCTTCTTCTTCTTTCTATGAACGATATGGATCATGACCATCATAACCACATCCAACCATTGGTGTGGACAATGAATAAGCATCAATCATATTAAACCTTTGCAAGATTTGTCTAATATATATTAGTTGGTAGAAAAAAATGCTACCATTTATTAGATGCATAATCTAAAGACCAATATAGAAAGTTATATTTTCTAGCATTTTCATCTCAAATTCACATATAAGTAGGTTAGTAGCTATAACACATGCAGATGTAGTGCCCATTAGGTTAAGATCATCAACATATACAGCGATGATGACAAAACCAGTTTTATCTCGTTTTATAAATAAACAAGGGATTAGTGGATCACTTACAAACTTATTTGTAATTAAATAATCTCAAAGATGTTGGTACCACATGTGTCTAGATTGTTTTAAACCATACAAGGCCTTACATAATTTAATACCATGATATTATCTTGGAGTAAGTCCATTTGGAGTTTGTGTTTATAAGATAGGTGGAACTTTCATATAAATATTTGCATCAAGAGAACCATATAGATATGCACTTACTACATACATCAGATACATCTCAAGGGTGGCATGAATTGTCATTCTAATAATATATCAAAATTTTGAATTTTAGAAGGAAATAAAATAATTAAAAACTTTGACTAATCAATTCCACATATTGCCTCCTTGATGGTTTGAGGTTTAGGATCATCTTCCTCTTAAGAAAAGGCTTCTATATTCATACATGCAAATGATTCATCTACCATAATACATGGTATGTTTCAAATATTATTTATAATACAATATAGAATAGATAATTCTTTACTCAACTTGTTCTTATTTCTTTCAATTCCAAGATTGTTTTTCACAGGAATTGAAGGTACATTATGCATAGATATATCATCATGGATTGGTAGTCTTGCAAAAGGAGTGGTAATTTCTTGAAAAATAATACCAAGATTAGTGAATATTATAGCTTTCCTCGTATGTAGTTGCTTATCTAGTCCACAAGTTCTTTTAGTTATTTTTATTATAACTTGAGGTATTGTAGTCAATGTCATTGCAATTTGAGCAGGTACATTTTGAGCCTCATTAATAAGAACTCTTGTAATTTTAAGTGTATCGTTGAAGCCATTAGGTATTTCATCTATGATCCATTTTAGATGCAAAATCTTAGCTACTTCAGTTTCTACCAAAGATGTCATAGGATTGGGATTCATTGTAAATTTTTCTAGTACTTCAAATATAAGTACTTTATTTCTTTATTGATTGGATACTCCTCCTTGAAGAGATGGAAATATATTTTCTTCAAAATAGCAATTTTGCAAATGTGTACGTAATAATATGCCAATTGATAGATCAACAATACTAATAATACTTAGTGAATCAAAACCAATATATATGTCTTTTTGTTGATGAGCTCCAATGGTATGCCATTGAGGTTCTGGTACTAGAATCCAAGCACGGCAACCAAATATTCGTAAGTGAAATACATTTAGAACATGACCCAAAATAAGTTCATGTAGTGAAACAATTTCAAGAGAAGAAGGGTAGAGGCATATTAATGCTGCAGCATGTAAAACTCCATAAGGCACATAGATGTAGATAAATTTACGTGAAGGAGGAGTGGCCGGGTAATAAGTTGTATACACTTCATAAATGACTTTGCAAGTCCATTTTGAGCATGTTCATATAGAACACAATATATCAATTCAATTCTTGTTGCAGTACAATAGTCTTCAAAGGACTTTGATGTGAATTCTTTTGCATTATCCATATGTAATTTTTTTATAGGATAATCAAAAAAATGTGCCCAAAAATGAATAAGTATAGATATAAGATTGGCAAACACCATGTTTCAAGTTGATAATAATGAAACATGTGATTGTTTACCTGATGCATCAACAAAGACCAAAAAATAACGAAATAGTCTCGATATTGGATTAATAGGACTATAAATATCACCATGTACTCTTTCAAGTATTGGTGATAATTCTTTTGGCAGTTTCCAAATTGAAGGCCAAATAATCATCTTACCTTGCATACATGCATGACATAATTCCATAGAGTCTACATCCATAGGCTTGAAATTATGCCTAATTATACATGGAATGATCTTTTTAAATAATATAGATCGTGGATGTACCAATTGTTTATGCCATAGAGAAACACGACTCTTTGTGATAGATGATGCAAAATTAAATATAATAGGAGGCCAAATTACAATTCGATATAAACCATTTTTTGTAGGAAAAGCTTTTTCAACAACTTTATGATTCTTCCTAAGAACCAAAACCTCTTTTAATTATTTAAAATGGCGGTCAAGAGGTGATAACCATTGATATGCACATCTTGGTAGTTGATTAGACTCCGAGGTGCTAAGGATGCAAACATTGCATGTTTATATTTTATGATAGAGCCCATAACTAATTTTATCATTGATGTGCCCTCTTGGAAACAAAACGAATTTGCTCCAGCCATAGTCATCATATTTTTAGTTTGCCAAGTTGAAGATTTTTTAATAAAAAATCATCTATCTCACAAGATAGTATGTGTTGTTGCAAAATCAATGAGCGCATCATTTGATTCATCATTAGGGGTTTTATTATTCATATAAGCCTTTAAGTCATCAACACCAATTGAATCCATCGACACATCTACGGTATGAACTTCACGAGTCTTAGCTCATAGTTTCTTATTTTCTTGGAACATTTTAATAAAATATTCTGAAGTATGGCACACATGTGCTAAATGTTCAATCATTCCACACTTATGGCAAGAATGCATCTTTGATTTTTGTTTTCTACTATAATTAGTAGTAGAATATTTATTCTTTCTACATGAGTAGAAATGGTCATGACTATGACTACTCTGATACTTATGAATACATTTCCTGTATTTATATAATTTTTTCTTAGACTTTAAAATATTAAGTGCATGAGATTCTAAAACTGTAGTTCCAATAGGACAAGCTTCTGGATTGCATAAGAGTAGCTCATTTTGCTTCTCCGCAAGAAATAGATAGGACATGAGATTAGAATGTCTCTGAAATTTCATGTTTCTATATTGTTGTGCAAGCACAACAAAAATAGGAGGAAATGTAGAGAGAATTTTTTCAGTCATTTCTTCTTCAGAGATGCTTTGTCCACATAATCGTAATTGTGAGATAATATTATACATTTCATTATTGAAAGCATTTAAATTTGAAAAATCCAAGACACATAAATGTGTCCAATCATGATATGTGTGTAGAAGAAAAATGGTCTTTTGATGATCAAACCTAGATTTAAGATTCTTCCAAAGTTTTGTAGGATCTTCCATATCCAAATATTGATGTTGTAATACATGTACAAGATAATGACAAAGGAGAAGAAGTACTTTCCAACAAATAGTAGGAGGAATAGAAATACTTATTATAGGAGATTCTTCAAACATAATGGCATCTGAGAGTTGTTCTGCAAATAAATTTGCTTGTGCCATTTTTGCCCATAATAGATAATTATTTCCATCCACAGTGAATGGTGGAAATAAAACAGCTTGAAAATATTGGGATGCACTGGTAATAGTTGGAACCACAATAGAAGCAGTTGAAGATGTTGAAGCACTTATTATAAATAAATCTATAAATAAAATACAAGATCAAGTAGAAAAGTTGAGTAAAATGTACCTTAAAATATAAAGTCAAATTAAATGATAATCTTGAACTTGAAAATCTTTTTTTTTTTTTTTTTTTTTTTTTTGACAAGGTTGTGGATTGTGGCAGTAGAGCAACAATAGGACGGTGATGGGCAGCAGTGGGTAGCAGTGGTAGCGACGAGGTTGGCTGCAGTTGGCAGTCATCAACAGTGACTTTTTGGTGGCAATCGATGGTAGTTCGATAGTTGTTCAATGGCTGTTTGGCAAGTGTTCAACTATAGGCACGAGGCGCAGCAAAGAGGTTGGGCTAGAGCAAGTATTCTAAGCAAGCAGGACAAAGAGTAGAGTAAGTGCTTTAAGCAAGTAGCTATTGTATGAGGGGCCAACAAGAAGTACAACAAGATCATGAGGCAGACAATGAGTAAGAGTAGCAACAGGTTTGAAGAGTCAAGTCTAGAGCAAAAAGAATTGTGATAGTGTGTAAAAGAAAGTTGTGCTGATAACGTATTGAAAATGTTTAGAAAGACACAAGAGTAGTAGTAAATAATACATACACACACAAGAGGGTTTCTAAGGAGAGTGAACTTCACACATAAAAATCTATTTGATCTGGTTGTATCTCGTATACAAGAGGAGAAAGAGGAGAAAGGGAAGAGGATAAATAGTTCTCCACTACATTCCAAATACTGTAGCAATGGTATTTATTGTAGTCTACAATAAATGTTATGGACAGCACCAATTACATTTAATGCTCACAACAGGGACAATGTCTAAAATGCTTTTGAAACAGTTGTATTTTATTCAAAATAAGCAATAAAGTTACTAATCACATCATGCTTAATTACCTGCAAAAGCTCATTTGATCAACCATGACCTCCAGTTATACCCATAAAAATACATCTTGCACTAAAACCCACAAGTACTAAGCCACCATATAAAAACAGGATGCATTTTAAAGTTTGAAAAAAAAAATTAGCAAAAAAAGGTTTCCACACAAAAGACTGCAGATTTGGGTGTGGACCATCACACAAACCAACCAGAAAGAACACACAAAAAGTAAAAAAGAAAATCATACATGTAAAACATGAAAAATTGTTAATGAATCCAGGGTATCTCAGTCTTTTCAACCCTCATTCTCTCAAAACCTTTTGTTGTATTACTCTGTGGCTTTGGGTGAAGCCTCAAATCCTGTCAACGATTTCAAAAATGGAGTGCTGCTCAACATACTGAAATCAGCACCACCGACAAAACGGCGGCGAGCTTCAACGCTAGGATTGCAAGAGCACAGAGGTTAGTCCCTGCGGCGGATGTGCCGAAGCCCTGATTGGTGACGTCGGGTGCTGGCCCCGGCGCCAAGTAAGCGTCGGCATCGGGAGGACTGGCGATGGGCTGCCCCGTCGAATCCACAGTAGTAGTCTTAAACGTCCACGACCAGACCTTGTGACGCACGGTGCCGGCGCCAGTCGCAGCCGAGAAACCCACATACATGAACTCGTTCAAGACAGTGGAGAGATCGATTGGCACCGACAGAAGCGACTCCGCCGGCTTCACGTAGTCGCCATTCGTGTAGGGACTAATGGAGACATCCAGCACATGGGCCAGGCTATTGTAAGTCACATACGCTTGAATGTGGTTGCCGGAGGCCAGGACCACGGGCGTCGCGCCCGACATCGCTGGCTTCGCTTGGTCCGAAACCAAGCTGCTGAAGTCCACGCCGACATGGTTATCGTTCATGTCTTGGAATTGGGTGTCCTGCCTAGTGTCAAATTCTAGGGCGAAGTATTTGGTCGTCGCGACGGCGATGTCGGAGGAAGGGGTCGCCGTGGCCAGGCCTAAGTACGCACCTGGGTCGCCTACCGTCCTGTTCTCCGAGGACATGCTGAACGTGAGCCCGGCGCCGTACGACTGCGGTGTCGAAAGTTCTTTTTCGATGGAGAAAATGAAGGTGGTCTCAAACGAAATGCTGGTTTGGGGTGAGGTGCTCACGGTGCGGACTGGATAATCGTACGTGGCTCTCCCAGCGCCTTTGTTGGTGAGCTCCAGTGCTAGGTCGTCGATGTAGATGCGAGCGTCGCCGAGGACTGAGATGCTGTTGCTGCTGTCGGAGAATTGGTAATACTGCAAACTCGTGTCAGCATCTACATGTCTGCTTATTAGCGAGCACACTAGACAGACCACGGACAGCCATTTCGCCGGCATCACCATCGCTACCTGCGTTATGACCAGCACCATTTCAAGGCAGAACATTCGACATTGAGGTCAGGCATCGATGGAAGTGCAGCTACGGAGACATGAAAGGCACTGAAGCTCACATACAGTCAGTTCAAATTGTGACAATGAACTCTGTGATGTACGCTCTTCTAATTCAGCATGCTCTCCGGAAGAAACAAGCAAATTCTGCGACTTGTTGAGAACGAGAAACATACCTCAGCAGAGAGAAGTATGAATCCAAAAAATGATCTTCTCTCACTTATCAAGCGGTACAATGGGCTTTTACGTCGTTGACGCATGAGAGGAACGACTGTAGACCATTTGACACAGAAAGTCTTGTGACCCAAGCACCTCACCATGCCCAAAACATCTCCCACGAAACGCACCGCAAGATGACTTCTGCGAACACGATTAACCTGCCAGCAAAGGCATGCAGCAGGAACTATTAGGGTTATGAAACAACGAGCTGCAGAACGGCCACCCTTCCACCCTCCGCAGACCAACGCCACGAAAAGACCGCCACTGAACCCAATCTCGACCCCATACCTGACAGAAAAGCTCGCATCGTGCAATATATGCCAGAAATTTTGCGGGCACAATCAAAATCAGGGGGAAGCAGCAAGCTGCAGGGTCAGGGCTCAATCAGGACGAACCTACATGGACATGCAGATTGTCACAGCTTTGAATGGTAGGAGGACTTGCAACAGCAGGTCACCAGGCAGGGAAGCAGAAACGACGACGTCGAGGGGGTGGGGGGCTTTCTGCACAGTGCGAGACGCCGTCAGCGAGCATAGAATCCTCCGACACACTTGATTATCTCCCACGGTCCCTCTCTCTCTCTCTCTCTCTCTCAGGATTGAGCTTCTGTCTGACTTCTGACACGCTCAGGGACAAGGTAGCCGTTGCCGTTGCCCTGTGATGGCAGTCGGCGTCAGCGGCTCTCTCTCCACCCTTACGCCGTGCTCCTGGTCGTCCTCGGCAATCCTGTATGTTAAGATTCAGATCAGTACTCGCAGTGATAAGAATGATTGTCATACCTGGGATTCGTTTTTATTGCGGCAGGGTCCTTGACCTTGCCCAGCTGGGTCAAACCCCATCCTGTGCTTTCTTTCCCCCTTACTAGCTGTGAATGTGGGTTTTAGCCCCATTGCACTATTGCCATGAATGCCGTAGACCCTTAATCCCTTGGCCATTGCTGTCCCTCCTTTGTGATAGTTTATTACTTGAAATTGACTGATTTTGCCTTCTTTGATCAGGCTACATGATGATGCCTCTCACCTGTTTTGTACCATCAACAACAGCCACTTCCCTATGTTCACTCTGTAAGCCCCATCATTTGTCATCAGTTGTGTTCAATTCTAGTGGAGCTGATGGCAGATTTTCAAATATATATATATATATATATATATATATGATGTGCATAGTGTTGGTACACACAACATTTGGAATGGTATATAATGGATATGTTTTCTGAATAGAAAATCTGTAAGTTGGTGAAAAAATGATACAGCTGCAAATTCTATGAGCAATTTAGTTGTATTCTTTCTAGAATGGAATGTGGTTTTGACTGTTTGAGGATAGGCAATGTTGATTGAAACTTGATGCACACCAAAGTTTTATCTTACAAGTTTATTTCCTTATTTCATAAGCATTGTCTTGATACATATTATGTGACTATTAAAAAAAGTATGTAAATTGGTCCTGTATGTGTGTCAGAAATCTTACTTATCAGTCATGCCTATTTATCTAATAACTATTTCCATAAAATTTTCCAGGTTGAAAATTTAGTTCTATAATTTGATGTTAATTTAGCCTTACAGAACTTCTTCCAAAACAAAATTTACATATATTTTAACTTCGTGGTAGTTTATTTATCATTTATTGTATTATATTTATCCTTTGTAAACATTTTCAAAGTAAAACTCATATTAAAGTTTCTTCGTTTAGGTTATTTTAATTCAATTATATGTTTAAATAAGTTATTTTTTCCTTTGAAAGATATTTCTATTCTAGTTTAGAAATTATTTAAGCTGTATCATTTATGTAAGATCCTATTTGGTATTCAAATGTAATAATAAAATTTACATTAAGAACGGAATTTTAAAATAAAATAAAAGTTTTACAAAAATGCATGTGTCCATATGATTAAGAACACACCAGTACATAAATACACTATAATGAATGGAAGCTTAAAACTTATAGATAATACTTTAATTCATAAGATGATCTCAAAAGTTAATAGCTTTTTAATATTTAAAATTATATTAAAATTTTCAAATTTTTAATTTATTAAAAATACATATTATCTCCAAATTTGAACCAAATTTAAAAAATTATAGATGTTAACTTGCACTGTCTTATACCAATCTAACTATTTATGTAATTCAAAATTTAAATTAATGTGAATGTTACCAATGTAAGCCCTAAATTATTCCATTCATTAACTTAGAATAATTCATTTTTATATTTATATATAAATATTAGCTCTGATTTGAAAATTAACACAATGTAAGTGTAACTGTAAGTCTTGGTAAAGCATTTAAAACGCCTTGCAAAAATTAGGTCAAGGAAAAATCTCACTAAAACTATCTTGTAAGGCATTTTTGAGCTTTGCAATAGTAAATATATCTAGAAAAGGACAAAAAAAAAATTAATCTGTACTCTGCCATAAGACATTTGTAAACTTTTTAGCCATGTTAAAAACCTCAAACCTTTAAAATCTGCTTTCTAAACACAAGACACTCAGAAAAAAAGGATTTTATCTTATTAAGAAATTTTACAAGATTTAGCAACACCACCCTTTTATTATTCAGGTGGATTTTTTTTTAATTTTTTTAATTTTTAATTTTTTTTCCAACACTCTACAATTCTTTGTAGCTAAAAACATGCAACACAATTATTCTTAGAAATATTTGATATTTATAAAATTTATGCTATGCAAAATAATTATAGTTGTTTCTTTCCTCTATATTTATGAAGTTTTGTAAAACAGATATACAGCTGTTAGTATGCCTTGTGTCTTTATGTGTTATTGAAATTTACAAACTTTAAATTACATTTTTATACCTTTTATTGGAAGAGAAAATTATATTAAAAATGATCATAATTATATCATCTTGAAAGTTAAGTAATTTAACGAAGTTCTTTAAGCTTTTAGCTTTTCTTCAATATTCTTTTCTAATAACTAAGATGCATGTAAAAAATACATCTTTAAATATTTATGTAACTTTTTGAGTTAAAGTATTACAATTTACAAATTACAATATCAAAAAGTAAATATATGTAGCAATAAAGTGCAATGAAGTTGTATCCTGTGTACATATATCAATGTTTTTTTTACATTCATTTTATTTTTGGATGCCTAATTTTTTAACATATATATATATATATATATATATATATATATATATATACTTTCTTTTATTTTATTTGTTAATTTCAAAGCATGTGTTATAATCAAGTAGTTAATATTATTTGTTGAAGGAAAGAACTCTTTAAGTAGTTGCTAATGGTCAATAGAGTATAAGTGTTGTTAGGGATATCCCATAAAGTTAGGTGCTGGTATATAGTGCATTAGAGTACAAGGGGAGGGCTGGTCCTAGGAGATATCTCATATGGGTTGTAGCACTTGGTACCTTGGTACTAGTATATAAGGAAAGGGTTGGCATGGGAAGAATTATCTCATACCACACTCTATTTGTTATAGTGCAACCTTGCTGGTCCTAACTTATTTATGTGGAGTATGCTTTCTATGTTTCTACAGGTTATGGGCCCACATTCTCTTACCAAGTAAGTTATTCTTGCATTATTTCTTTGCTGCTTGTTTTTGGTGGTTGAGATCTTATGGTAGAGTGTTGCTAGTGAATTGTTGAAGTCATTGCTCCTGGATTTGTGAGTGTATGAGCTTAGTGCAAGACCTTGATAGTGTCTTTGCTAAAGGAGCACTAGTATTTGAGAGTTTTATGAGAAAGTGAGTCATTTTGAGTGAAGTGACGTTAGAGAGACGTTTGAAAGTCATAAAATCACATTACAAACCATTCTCCACCATTTAGACGTAATTTGGACTCAAAATATGCAAAAAGTTGCAAAACAACGAATTCTGGGTTTGTAGTTCAGCAATCTTTAAGTACTCATATCTTTTACATTACAACTCCAAATCAAGAGTTTTTTGGACCTACTTGTAGCTTGAGATGGCGTCTTTTGAGGGTGATAGCTTAAGAGTTGTTGAAAAGTTTAGAGGTGACAACTTTCACCACTGGAAGGCCAAAATGGAGCTACTTTTGGCATTATTGGATCTTTGGGAGATAGTAGATGAGGAGCAACTTGCACCTGGGGTAGAGGCAAGCATCAAGGAGCAAAAGGACTTCAAAAGACGAGAGAAAAAGGCTTTTGGCATAATTGCCACTAATTTAGATGAAAGCAACTTTGCTCATGTCATTTCTTGCAAAGGGGCAGCAGGTGCATGGAAGACTCTTTGCAATGTCTATGAAAGTAGGAACCTCTCCTATGTGCCATGGTTAAGGCAAAAATTCTTCACTGTGAAGATGGAAGAAGGTGAAGATCTCATGGCTCATGTGAATAAGGTAAAAACACTTGCAAACCAACTTGCTATTGTTGACAAGCCTTTACTTGAAGAAGATGTTGTGATGACATTGCTCTCAAGCCTTCCGGACTCCTATTCCTCCCTCATTGTGGCATTGGAGTCCATTTCAAAGAAAGACCTCACTTTGGACTATGTCACGGCAAGACTAGCCCATGAAGTGACCAAAAGAAAGAAAAAGGAGTCTATTGGGTAGCAATCAGCACTATTTACAAGACCAAGTAAGGCAAGTGCCCCTTTTCAACGTTATCCTCCTAAAGCTTGTTACATTTGTGAAAAACCAGGCCATTTTGCTAGAAATTATTTCAAGGCAAAGAAACGAGAAAGAGAGAATGCCAACAATGCTTTTCATGACCATGGAGGTGAAGACTTTGCATTTATGGCAAAACAAACTCCTTCCATGCTTGATATGAGCAAATGGATTGTGGATTTCGGATGTACCAAACACATGACTCCATACAAGTGTTCATTTAACACTTATCAACCAATTCTAGCAACCAAGGTTTGGTTAGGTGATAATGGTATGGTACAAGCCATTTGAATGGGCACCATTGTAGTGGAGGTGGTGGTGAAGGGCATAAGCAAGAGAATCACTCTCAAGGATGTGTTGCATGTGCCAAAGATGAAGAAGAACCTCCTTTAGGTGAGTAAACTTGTAACTCATGGGTACAAAGTGCAATTTAACATGAATGGATGTTTTGTGAGAACCATGGAAGGCAAAGAAGTAGCAAAAGGGACTAGGGATGGCAATCTCTATATTATCAATTGTAAGAGGATCAATGGAGTGGAGGTTGCTGCCTTTGCTGAATTTCCATCAAATGAAGACAAGGTGGGTATTTGGCATCAAAGACTTGGGCATTTGAATGCCAAAAGCATGAAGGAGCTTCAATCCATGGTAAGTGGCTTAGACCTTGGCCATTCTACCATGAATCTTGCTTTTGAGGGATGCATTCAAGGCAAACAACATAGGACACCATTTCCTAGTGGAGTTGCAACAAGAACAAGTCAATTGCTGGAGCTTGTGCATTTGGATGTTTGTGGACCCATGAGGATACCATCTATGAGTGGAGCAAGGTACTTTGTCACATTTATTGATGACTTCTCAAGGAAGGTATGGATTTATATCATCAAGGCCAAGAGTGAGTGTTTTGCCAAGTTTAAGGAGTGGAAAGCACTTGTGGA